GAATAAATAACGATAAGCCTTCAAATTTTAAATTAAAATCATGACGTAAATACCAAAAAAAAAAACCTATTAAAAAGACCTCTCCTTTATAGATTTAGAAAATCCAATTCTTTAATAATAATTATGTTTCTTAATTCATCATCAACGAGAGATCGATTACCTCTAAAATCTCACCGTAGAACTAGCATAGCCGCGGTTCCGCAGGCGGTTTACCTCGGTTTAGAATTGGATTACAAACACTCCAATGGTGAAAGGGCAAACTATGCTATTTGTACTCATGACGGTTCTTATGCTATTGACTATGAATTCTCGTCGGTTGATGTATCTGATCCCCATAATCCCCATCATCCCATGGATCGTGAACGCGTCGAGAAAGTTATTCAAATAATACTCGATAATATCACTTTATATGCCACTTCGCAAAATTATAAAATACAAGCAATTGGACTTGGAGCTCATTTAGAGAATGGCGAGGATTTACGGAAACTTTTATTTGCCGCCCCTAGCCTTGCTTCTCGTATTTGGTTAGAGTTCGATGCTTTGCCATTTATCATTAAAACAAAGGGTAAAACTCTCGATGAGCGTGCTAGTTCAGCCGTAAGGAAGGCGGTAGTGTGGTAAGTTTTTCTTGATATAATTACAAATGACTTGAATCATGTGGATCATATTATTCATTATTAATCATTTTATTTTTCAGGATGAGTCCACAAGCTCCTGGATCAATTCCAAGGGTATCTGTTGGATTCAGACATGAGGTTGAAGTTGATCTAAACGGAATGATTAAATTGGTGGATTTGGTGCATTACGAAAAAACCGTACACCCGGCAACCTGGAAAGTGATTTGTAGTATCGCTAAAGAAATTAAAGATAGAAAAATAAAGGCATCATTTTTCAATGCAACGCCTCAAGGTGGTGGAGGTAATTGATAAACACCGATCCTTTCCCTTTGTTGATCACACTTCTTTATGATCGCAAAATATATTGAATCTTTTTTGATCTTTACAGTTGCTCTTATGCGTCACGCGCTTATCCGTCTATGTACCCTTATGGGCATCGATATTCATTGGTTTGTCGCTAAGCCAAAACCCGAAATATTTGATATAACAAAAAGAAAGTTCCATAATGTATTACAGGTAGGTTAACATACTTGTGATGATTTAACTTGGATTGTCAATAAAGTCACTGAAATAATATTCTTTGATTAGGGTGTAGCACCTCCCGACGTTCGCCTAACTGAAAATGACAAACAAATGTTCATTTCCTGGTCGAATGATAATGCCGAGCGTTTCTGGGATGATGACGAAGGCCCAATTAAAACCAGTGATGTGATAATAATTGATGATCCACAAGGTATCGAGTAGTCAAGAATGCATGGCACATCTAATTGCGTTATGCGTTATGATATTAATATTTACTTCCATTCTTAATTCAAAAGTTTGTGGTATCATTCCATGGATCAAGAGACTCAATCCGACCTGCAAGATCATTTATAGAAGTCATATCGAAAGTAAGTTTTATTAAATATTCGACCAATTAATAAAGACGCAATCACTCACTCCATCTTTAGTTTGTGCTGACTTAATCCGGCAGGATCCAACGGGACCACAAGCTGAAACGTGGAATTTTCTTTGGGAATTTATTTCTCACGCTGATCTGTTTGTGTCTCATCCTATCTCCAATTTTGTTCCGGACAATGTCCCTAAAGAAAAGGTGGTTCTTCTTCCTGCTTGTACAGATCCATTAGATGGTTTAAACAAAGATCTTAGACATGTTGATTTATCTTATTACAAATTGGTTTATAATCGATTGTCATTAGATCAATGTGGTGTTAAAATTGATTTTCAACGACCTTACATTGTTCAAGTGGCTAGGTTTGACCCAAGTAAAGGTAAGAAATTGCCTAGTCCTGGTACTATCAAAGGACGAAATATTTACTTTCTTTGGATTATGTAGGTATACCTCTGTTGATTCATTCCTTTAAGCTCTTCCGTGATAAGCTTAAAGCAGCCGGTTGGACTCAAGAAAGAATGCCTTCTCTAGTAATATGTGGCGCTGGAAGTATTGACGACCCGGATGGCACTCCAATTTTTGAACAAACTCACTCATTATTGTTGCAACCCGAATATGATGATATCGAAAGCGACGTTTCAATCGTGCGACTCCCCCCATGTGATCAGATCTTCAATGCTATCCTTAGATGTGCTCATGTAGCATTACAATTAAGTACAAGAGAAGGATTTGAGGTTAAGGTTACAGAAGCTTTAGCGAAGGGAGTCCCCGTCGTAGCATTCAAAGCGGGTATGATGATCATTTTTTTTTTGTTCATTATTAATTAGCACAACCTTTTTTTTTTTTTTTTGAACTTTTCATCTAAATTCATACGCATATATCATTAGGAGGAATACCACTTCAGATTATACATGGGGAGACAGGGTTCTTGGCAGATATTGGTAATACCGAGCAAGTTGCGGATTATTTGTTTACCTTGTTTAATGATCAAGAACTATATCAGAGGATGTCACTGAGAGCAAAGGAGACTTTGAACGAACAATACTTCACGGTATTTCAGACTCTTAATTGGTTATATTTGATCAACCGATTTGCTAAAGAAAGACGTAGAGAGATGGGCGAGGACGTTGAAATCGATGAAAGTGTACCTTGCGGTAACTCAAAATGGGTCAAAGACATTTGGGCAGAACAATATAATTATAAAGAAACAATGAAACAATGTGTTGATTTAGAGATTGATAGCCAGGAGGTAATTATTACTATTTCTTAATAACTTTTTTTTACATTTTTACTAAAAAAATTTATATTTATTTTTTTTCCCCTAGAGTCTTGATGAGATGATTTCTCACCCTATAGACAGTATCAGTAACGGAGTATAGAAATTTTTATAATTTGTGTATTATTTATATTATTTATGTATTATTATCATTTTTGCATATATAATTTATCTTTATTTATTATTCCTTTCTCTTTAATGATTTCAATTCTTATAAATGTCATCTGAATAAATTTATACATGTATACAGTCATTTTTATAATATAAATAAATCAAAGTGTAAAAAATTAAAACTCGGACAAATTTCTTTTCACGTGATATTATTTAGTGGTTTCATTTTTCAAAATCTCTCGTCCCTTCTTTCAACTTTTAAACTCTATAAACGTCGGTGTGAAAACGGAGCCAAAAAAGAAAAGATATGTCAGTAAACAATCTTAACACAGTTCATGAACAAGTCGACATTGACGTTGACATTGATGATTCCGCTCCTCACGAACATGCTACACCGGATTCAATGGTCACCACCTCAAGCTACGGAGGTATTGATGAGCATATTGCGCAAGAAACCGAGGCCTCCTTTAAAACTTCCAAGCGTGCCACTGGAAAAAAACGTCGAAGGTCTCCGGATTTGGAACTTTTGGAGGAAAATCTGGCGCAAGGTATCTCTACTTCAGAGACCTCAGAGCCTAACCCAAAAAAGAGGGTGCTACCACCTCGTAAAGTTGGAACACTCGCAAGTGTTCTAGCGGATGAAGTCGCAGCGGATCAAGGTACATTTTAATCGTAAAATATAAACAAAACATTTTCATTGATCGTTGTTTATTTATTTAATTTATTTCTTTTTAGCTGCGATGTTGGCACCCGCTATTTCAGGCGAAACCACAATTTTGTTGACATCCGATGAAAGTCTCCTAGAGACTTGTGATGTCGTTGAGGATGATGAGGTTGGTACGGACGAAGATCTAATTAAGGCTAGCAATGATGATGATAAGGAAATTCCTGTACCATCATTTAGGGTTGTTAATGAAGATATTGGAAGCGGATTACGGAGTAAAGCCCAAGAGGTTTATAAAGAAAATTTTAATGTATTTAATCATGGCTTTCACAAGTAAAAAGCAACGATTTAAAATTTCATTGTTTTTTTTTTTTTTTTTTTTTTTTTCTCCCTTTTTTTTTTACCAATTAAAAAAAAAAAAAAAAAAAAAAAAAACGATAAAATATAGGAAGATATATCCGATGTGTCATATGAAAAGCGTCATCGCAAACATGAGTTGGCCGAGAAGAAGCTAAGGAATCGTGAACGTGAGAAGTTGGCATACGAAAGGTACCAACAGCAATTGGCCGTCGAGAAATTACGCAACACCGATTCAAAAAGTCTAATATCAATCGCTGCTCTGCGAAATAAAGATGCAACGAATGATGCTAGCAAGTTACAGATAGCGCATCAAAAGTTGCTTAAAGAAGCCGAAGATACATTGGCCATATATGATTCATTCGGCCTAGGTGGCAAAAAACGAAAGATAGACGCAATAGTCAATGAAGGAGAGGTCAAGATGTCTGAGGAACCCGATGCGAAAAAAACACGACTTCGAGGTTCAAAAAGTACCGTCATTTCAAATTTGGATGATGTCGCATCAAAACCTAAGGAAGTGACTACGAGAATCACCCGAAGTCGAAAGAAGAATGATGAACTTGCTTCATCTGCGGTCACAAAAAAACTCGCCAAAGCGCCACCAAAAGGAAAGAAGGCTCAAAATATCGCGTCGCCTTCAATTACAACGGCGTTAACGGTGACCCAATCGTCCCCAACGGGCGAACGTGTAACAAGTTTTGTCAGGCCATATACGGGTATGGCATCTGGTTCACGCAAGAGTTCACGTTCAGCTTTTGCATTTGGTGAACGAGTTCCAAGCAGACAAATGACCAAAAAAGATTTCGTTTTGCCGGTTGCAATTTTTGGGGAAATAATGAATCAACGTGAACAATTAAGAACATTGGAGGTGCGAGAACAACTTCGCCAATCAGAAGAATATAAAATGCCTTCTGAAGGTAGTGGAACCTAATAAATATCACAACGACTCAACGACTGAATAAGATGGAATTTGCTTTGAAGAAAAAAGCAAAAAAAAAAAAGACTATTTTCAACCCCATTTTTTTCCTGTCTCAAAGAAAAAAAAGATTTTTGTTTTTTTATCTCTAATATATTTGTAATAATTTAAGTTTTAGTAATTTCTAATAAAAATACGCTCTGTAAAGACGTAGCATAAGCCACATCATTGTCCATCGATTCCATATCTTCATCGTTCTCATCATTCAAATTTATATATTTATCATAATTAAAATTGAACAAAGAAAGAGGAATTTGATTACATTTAAGTTTCCATTTATCCAAGAAATATTGAATAGATCTTTTGGAGCTGTTTGAAGAAGAAACATCATAAGAGGATATCATAGAAAATGGTAATTCATTAAATATGTTTACCTTCTTTCTTGATACGATGTAATGAACTTTGCATTTGGAGAATGATAAGTCAAGATGTAAGCGACGGTTACAATGAGATCCTCAAAATCTAATCAAGATAATCGATTATAAAGTGAACAGAATCTGAATTGAATTTATCAAGTAATAAGGTTACCTTTTGGATCGTAGAAAGTATCACTACCCAAAATCCAATCAATCTTTCGGTCAGATTGCTCGACATCAGTTAACATTTGAAATAATCCACCACTAAAATCGCTCCACATCAACCCCCTTATCCAAATATTATTCCTAGTTGTTAAGTTATTTAACCTTGCAGTGTCTCGCATGTTTTCAAGCACTTGAGGGGCATCTGGTCTATCCGTCAAAATTACGTGCGTATCATTGGAAATTAATGCACACAAAAATCCTGGCAATGAGGTTCCTGATCCTAGCTATGATAATATAAAGTTCCTTATAAATAAATAAATATTTTTTTGTATGAGTGAGGTCTTCCTTAATTGATATCCTTACTTCTAAGACCGTTTTATCTTTGAATAAGTCCCTCTTGTACCAAATATATTCAGCTAATACAAATGCCGATGGCCATATGTAACATCCATATGATGAATCAAGTATTTCTTTTATTATTACAGATTGTTCTTCCCTTGAGCTTTGATTAGAATTCTCTTCATCATAAAAATGAAAAACTTTGGTAGAATTCATCATGAAAAAAATTTATTATTTTATATTTGCTACGCCACATCAGAAAACCTATATCGAGTTAATTTTTTTTGTATCACTATAAAATTCGATCAATTCAAATTATTCTGTTTTTCGATTATAAGTTTAAAAAAAGACAACAGCTGAGGAAGCAGATCAAGAGTATCAAGCTGTGAGCAAGAAACTGGACAGATTAGACGAGTTGAGAATTTTGTTGAGGAAAAAAAAGAAATATGAAGACCATGAAGAAAAGGCAGAGTTGGAAGAAGAAAGGAACGAGTTGGAGAAAGATAAAGAGAAGTTGAAAAAGGAAAAAGAAGATTGGAGGGAGCAGTTGATATATCTTCAAAGACAATTAGCTAAATTTGATAAAAAAGTAATGAAACAAATTGTATAAAAATATAATTTATAAAATATTAACTAATTATTTTTATATATTGGTATGAAAAATTCTTGGTTTTCACCTCCAACAGGTAACTATCATGTTTAGTCAATTTGGACTCCTTTCCATTTCCATTTCGGTCTTATTAATTTATATTACTGTCTACAGATCAAAAATTAACAGTTAATGAGCTTAAGCGGAAACTTGAACCATACATAGTTGAAGGAGAAAGTCATCTTCGTGAATCATTATGTGGTTCTTCAGCTCTTCCTGATGATGTTTTAGATATTTCGATGTATTTGAAATTTGTGAATCGTGAGGATGAGATCAGGCAGTTGATGGGAAACATGAAAAATCTTCATGTTCTTATTAAAAATCTCTAAAGTTATGCCGAACCAAAGAAACAAATTACATTCCCTATCGCTGTAGGGACAGCAGGGAAGGGAAAAACTACATTTGCAAGAAAGGCATATGATAAAAGAAAGATTTATGCTGATGGCATATCGGATGAACTTAAAATGATTTTAGATGATTGCTTGGATGTTGGTTGATCTTTTCGGGGTTCATGTGATTGTATGGATATTGAAGAGTTTAAAAACCCAGAAGTTGTTGAGACATTATTTGGGAAAAGTTTGCTTTATGAAGCTTTAAAATATCATCTGAAAGGGTAAGAATTTATATATGTTGTCTTAATCTATTTGCAATATTTAATACATTTAATTTATTATTTCTAGGATTCAAAATTTCAATGAATTTGTAAAGTTATAGGAAATGATTTGATCTCTCTTCGTGATGTTTTAAAAACAATCTTAATTTACAAACCAAGAGAAGAAAACTTGTCTTTGCCTCTCTTCATTATTAATATAGACGAAACCAATGTACTTTTTGAGGGAGGCCAATCCAAGTCACTTCGAAAACTTTTAAGTATCTTTGCAAATCTCATTTTATCAAAAAACTTTATATTTGTTATTTTAACAGGAACGCATGCAAGCTCTTTATTTGATTCAATTACATCTTCTGGTGCCTGTATTGAAGAAATATCACTGCCATTACTTAGTTCAGAACGTGCACAAGAAGTGATCTTAGATTTAGCAAATCGGGTAAGATAAAAATTTCGTATTGAAGTTTGTTATTAATTGATTTGATCCTAATCCTAATTTCAAATCATTATCGTTTCTTTTTAGAATCAAGAAAAGGGCACCAGACCCAAGGATAGCCATTTCAAATATCATTATTTCTAGATAACGACCAACAACACCATGAAGTGTTTTAGGTTTGAAGAAATTTCCCTGATTTTCCTGATTTTAATAAAATGAAACAAATATTAGTTTTGTAGGTCTCATAAAATATATAATCAATGAAAAATACATTGGAAACAAAATTTTATCATGAATGATATCGTTATTTTTTGGAAAATTGTCAATATGATTATAATTATTGCACAACCCTTCTTAGAAGAGTGAAAGATAAGTTAAATAGAGCTTATTCACGCTACTACAATGCATACACATCACGAGAATATTGAAATTATCCCTCAGCGACTTGCATATACTTTATTTGGGTGGAAAGTTACTTGAACAACTACATTAGGAAAAAGAAAGATTCAGGTAAATTTACTTAGAATATTAATAGTTATATACAAGTTATTTATTTGATTTATGCTTTTCCTCCACAGGATTTGGAAATAGGTGAGTTGATTTTCCTGAAAAAAGATAAGCTTGTACTCCCATTTCTCACTTTACAGCAAGTTTATCATCATTTTGATCACAGCAAGTTGCCAGCTATTAAACTTCTTCAGTCTGTAGAAAATACACTTTCAATGAGGCACTGTCATTATCAATAATGGTTTTTCGTCTATGGGAATATATTATAAATCTATTAGTGATAAAAAAATTATTGAAGGTCAAAGAGGAAATTGTTGGCTTTCTGATTTGGTTCCATTGTGGAAAGGACAGTCAGATAAATTTATTGAGTTTGAACCCAAATTTGTTGTGCATTCAACTCCTTATAGAATTGAAAAAGACTACTGGAATCAATTTTTTAATAATTATTCAAAAGAATTAAATAAGAAATGTATTGCTTTTCACAACCTGCCAGATGCTTCCTTTTTAGATGGAATCATAATTACAGATCCATCTATATTTATTTAAGATAAACAAGAAGTTGTCAGTATAAAGAAAGAAATTATTGGACATTTACCAAATATTCTAGGTAAAGGGTGTTGGATGCAAATGTTGAGAAACATATTTTTGTTTTTATCACTGATGCGCATGCATATGATGATGAAACTTATGATCATAATGAAGTTGTGATAACTTCAGAAAATATAAGTGATTTTTATGAAGATATTTTAGCAAGAATGAAACTGTATTCTATTGGACGAAGTTAATTTGATTCATTTTTCAAAAGATAATTAACATAAAATATATGGTAATATTGAAATTTAAAATAATTTTTATCTAATAGTTTACAATTTATGCTAGCTTATAATTTTCTTTAATTTTATTTTAAAAGCTTATATATTGTTTGATTATTATTATTTTTTTTTTACAATGTGATTATTAAGTAATTTTATTAAATGTAATATAAGATACAAAATAAAAATAAAACAAGAATAATAGAAAAGTATTAGCTATTTCTTATGATTATTTTTCAAACCCATTTAAATTAATCTATCAACATTTTTTCTGTTAAAATTATACTTATTTATAAATATGAAAATGAGTTATCATATTTATCTGCTAAATAGATTCAAGTTTTCCAATTATTATAAGGTAAAATAAGTCAAAATTTATTAGTATCTCATTTGTTTTTGTCTTTAGATATTCCTAAAGAGTTTTCTTTATTATTTAATAATTTATCATGATATTTTCAAATCTTCTTATAAAGATTTTCATAAAGAAGAATGTAAATCATAAGGTGATTAAGAGATACTTATTCTTATTTCTTGTAATTTGTGAATTAATTTTACTAATGAAGAAGAAATGTTAAGTTTGATAATATTGATATATTGTTATAAATTGATCTATTAGAGAAATTACAAAATTAATCTACTGGATGATCTACATATTGATTTATATATAAATTATTAATATTGTTATCATAGTTAACATGTTAAACATATTTGATATATTTGACATGTTTGATTTATTACATATGGGAGGTTTGCTAGGAAAATGGGACTCTGAGACTAAAAAATTTTTTTGAATAAATTAAAAAATCAAAATAAGCAAAAAACTAGCTTTAAATTTGAGGCGATCTATTTTTAGGTCATGTGATATATATCATATGATATAAATTATTAGCTAAATACTTTTTAAAATGTAATTTGTTGATCATTTTCTAAATGGTACATTAAACATGTTTATTATTTCCAAAAATCTATTTCTAGATTTACTAAGTAATAACTTTCAATATTATAATTTTTTTTTTTGAAAATAAGCTAATGTAAATATAAAATTTTAACCAATTAAAGTTTATAAGTTATAGATTAATATGCATCAAAAATTTCAATTTTTTAAAAAATGTCTCAGAACCCAATTTTCCTAGTAAACTTCCCATATGATACTCTTGAATATCTATTATTGATTAAGTTATATAAAATGAAATTTATCCTTTTATTTATATCTTAATTTATGATATTATTTACTAATCACGTGACATATTAAATTTTGAATAACAAGACTACATTAGTCAAATGATAACAAATAGGAGACTAATCAGATCAAATCTAGCAATCCAGATTTAACCTGATTGGTTCTCTATTTTTTTGTTTTTTTAGAATCTGATGATTCTAATTGATGATAAATAATGGCGCAGATAGGATATAATAAGATTCCAATCAGAGTGTTATAAAGATATCAATAGGGTTATTCTTATTGATATCAATTTATTAACATCCAGTTTCCAATCAGGTTCTCCTTAAATCATCAATAGGAATATTACTATTATTACTTATTATACAAATAGCATATTCTGATTGGTAACATTTTATTAAATTTTTATAATACAGGTAATTTTATAATTGTTTATTTTATACAAGTAAGTAATCCCGATTAATTACAATAAAAAGAATTTTATTATTGATATGATTTACATTAATATAATACTTTAATTATAAGAAAAGTACATTTATAAATAATAAGCTTCTGATTGTTACAAATTTATTAAATTTAATTATTTGCTAAATTTGATAAGAAAAAAAATCACTCCTATTAAAGAAAGAAAAAAAATAGTAAAAACCTGAAAAAATATCATCAAAAGAGTTCTGATTTGTAGTATACTTTAGTCAATAAACAAGAAAAATCCACTCCTAATAAAAAAAAAGAAAAAAAATTAGTAAAAATCTAAAAAAACTACTGTTCCAATTTGTAGACTTACCTTAACCAATAGCAAAAAGTTTACTTCTATTTAAAAAAAGAAAAAAATAGTAAAAATCCAAAAAAAAACAACCATTCTGATTTGTATACTTATCTTAACCAATAGAAAAAAATTCCACTTCTATTAAAAAAAGAAAAAAATTAGTAAAAATCACCATCCTGATTTGTAATATACCTTAGTCAATAGCAAGAAAAGTCCACTTCTAATAAAATGAAGAAAATAATTAGTAAAATCTGAAAAAAACAACTATCCTGATTTGTAAACTTATCTTAACCAATAGCAAAAAAATCCACTTCTATTAAAAAAAAAAATTAGTAACCAATAGCAAAAAAATTCACTCCTATTAAAAAAAAGCAAAAATCCAAAAAACCATCACCAAAAGAATTCTGAAAGACCATTTATCTTATCTAAAAAAAAGAATGTTTGTTACTATAAAAAAAAGAAGAAAAAATAAGTAAAAAAACTATTATCCAAAAGAAAGAAAAATTCTTTACTAAAAAAAAAGAAAAAAAACTACAAAGAAGAGAGTATATTCTGATTTATTAAAAGAGGTTAAATATGATTTACTCGATTTTTGTATTAAGCGAATCATATATAAAAAGTTAATAGAAGATAAAAATTATATTTGAATATGATAGTTTATATTCAAAATGAAGATATTCATCATCGATTGATAAAATTCGCATTTGAATGCAAAAATCGTCTTCGAATGATGAAACTTGTATTCGAATGCGAAATTCATCTTTGATAGATGAAATTCACCTTCAAATTGACGAATCTCATAAAAGTAACAAATCATTATACAAAATTCGTAAAGAATTGCTTAATGAATTTCATTATAATTCGTTATAACGAATTTCGTAATAAATTGTTAGAATTATTTGTTAACCGATTTGTAATGAAATTTCATTTAACGATTCTTTAATGAAATTTGTTAAAAGAATTATATGAAATTAGTTATAATGATTCGTTATAACGAAATTCATAATTCGTTTAAATGATTTGTTATACTATTACCTAACTAATAATTAGGTGGACTAAAACATGTAATCAATTGAGTAGCAACAAGATTTAGCTCAATCTTTATTAAGTTTTAGGAGAGACTTTAATTAATTCTGGTTATTGTTGACTTCAGTATTCTTTCACAATAAAGTTTCAGAATTGGCAAGTATGACGACTTTCAATTCTTCACATAAGACAAATAATAGAAAATTCTCAGTTAACGTTACAAAGTTTTATTTGTAACCAAGTTGATAATGTTTAAGATTACTTAAACCTAGATGACACTAAGCAGGGTTGTTGACGTTAAGTAAGTTTGCAATTACTTAACCAAGGTTTGACACAAAGCAATTTGAAAATATTAAGCAATTCAATTATTACTTAACCAAGGGTTGATATAAAGCAGAAATTTATATAATGAATCGTTTAAATGAATTTCATATGATTTGTTTAAACGAAATTTGTATAACAAATCATTTAAACAAATTTGTTACGATTCATTTAAACGTAATCTTCTAAACTAGAAACTCCAAATAGGAACTTCAAGGAGAAACTAGTCAAAGGCTAAGTATAAAAGAAGTAGTAATAATTTAAGAACAATATAATTATATTCTCTATATCTCTTCAAATATATATATATTATCATTAAAGGACTATTGCATAGCGATTAGGTAGTCATTACTCAATTATTATAACAATATTACATAGAAAAGATGAGGAAATCATTACATAGTTTTTATGCAATAGATAGCAATTTAGTGTAGAAATTTCATTATAAATAAGCTGAGTTTTTCATCATGTATCGATAGAAATTTAGGAAGTTAATTTATAAGAAAATAAAAACTCTTTACTAAATTATCTCATAACAAACAAATTGCTTTGTGTTAAAACCTCGTTTAAACGAATTATATGAAATTTGTTATAATGATTCGTTATAATGAATTTCATTTAAACGAATCATAACAAATTTCATTAATTGATTAGTAACGAATTTCATTTAAACGAATTGTAACGAATTTTGTTAACCGATTCATAATGAAATTTCATTAAGCGAATTAAATCGCTAACAAATTTCGTTAAAAGATTCATTATAATGAATTTTGTATGATTTGTTTAAATGAAATTGTATAACGAATTTCATTACGGATTGTTAACAAATTTTAATGAGACTTGTTAGCGAATTGTTACCAATTGGTAAATTCTAATTGAATAATAATCATCAATCAGGTATTAAACTGATTGATAACTAATTATTAATTAAACCCGATTTGTTGCTATTTAACATATAGTTATAAATTTAATAAAATAAGTATAAAATCAGATTAGAAACCGATTTATGTAATTCTACCTAATAATTATTATTATGGTATTAACCGATTCATATCCGATTGTAGTATCAACTGATTTTTATCTATTGATTGCTAATCAAAAAATAGAGACCAATTAGAAAGGTACCCGATTTATCAATATTCGACCTATATTATAATATGAATCAGTATTGTATTAATTATAATTCAAGTATTAATAACAGTATAATACAAATCTGTAAAAAAATTATAATAGAATATTGAAAATTAGACTTTATGTATTATTTAAATTGGTAAACTATTTAGAATATTTAAACATTGCAATACATATAATACAAATCTAATAAATATCAAATTAATAATAATATATATAATACAAATCATTGATGTTTTCAAATTACCAATAATATATATTGAAAATAACTTTTAGTATATGCGTATTTTAATAAATTAAAGTATTATTATCGATAATACATATTGAAAAATAAACTTTTACATTATGCAAGTTGGTGATATTTAAATAAATTAAAGTATTATTATTAATAATACATGAAAATTTTAATATTAAAAATATAATTTTTATATTATGTAAATCAGTAATATTTGAATTAATTAAATTATGATTATTAAATTAACAGTAATATATACTTTTTGTATTATACAAATCAGAGTATTATTTTTGATAATACATGAATATTAGACTTATTGTATTATACAAATCAGTGATATTATTAACAAATTAAAGTATTATTAAAATTAATAATAATACATATTGAAAAATATACTTTTTTTAAAAATATAAATAAGACACAATTATCGATATAAATCGGGAAATAATTTTTCTTTTTCAACAAATATGACAAGATCAAAAAGAATCTATTTTTATAAAGATAATACAAAAAATCACAATATTATTCCTAAAACTACAAATATGTCAAAATCAAAAAAATCTAATAATAAAGGTTTTGCAAAGATTGTATTACTCTTAAAACTAGGCATTTAGTTGAATGCAAATGTATTTTACATTGCTGAGATAGTAAATTAGTTAATTCTATAACATTTAAAAAATACGAGTATTATGCCAGTTCTTTAAAATGCTTGACTTAAATAAGCTTATAATTACGTGTGTAGAAGGTTTCCTTCGTAAAGAAGATAAAGAACTTAATTATAATTTTATAAGTGCAAAGAAAATAAGATAATACGTGTAAAATAAATAATTAATAAACAAAATTATAGTACTACCTCTGTCAGCGCGTCTGTACTAAACAGTTTATTTATTAAAGAATTTAAAACTACTAAAAATAATATAAGACAAAACTGAAAACGATCTATTGATACTTAGTCTTAAATTATTACTATTTATAAAAAACTAACCTATATAATGTTATAATAATTTAAATAAGGAAAATAAAGAAATATAAGATAACGAATAAAATAGATAAAATAAATATAATAAAATAAATAAATAAAATGAATTAAATAAGTTAAATAAACTATGAAGTCAATGGTTTCTATTATACAAATTAATTTTAGTGTTTCGGACTTGTTTGTGCCAAAGTGAAAAATTAATTTTACATATCGGAAGCTAATGTTTACAGAGCGAAAAACAATCAAGAAAGCAAATTGGTATTCTTAGGATCACATGTATATTTACAATGAGATTACGCTATGTAAGAAAAATTTGATACTCAAGGTGACCCTCTAGGCGTCCCTGAGCTTTTTGTACCAAAAGTGAATTTTTTTTTACATATAGGAAGATAAAGTTTACAGAGCGAAAAACAATCAAGAAAACAAATTGATATCCTTAGGGTCACATTTATATTTTCAATGAGATTACGCTATGTAAGAAAAATTCAATACTCAAGGTGATCCTCTAGGCATCCCCGGGCTTTTTGTGCCAAAAAGCCTATTATTATACTACTCTTTTTGATTATATTAAATTACAAAGTAATTATATAAACAACTTTATTAGAATATAAAAAGAAAGTATATTAAATAAAATTAAAGATGTTTTAAAAAAAAATAGACAAAAAATAATTTTTTTTTAAATATTTTATTTCGTTTATTTTGATTAATTGACCTGAATTTTATCAGGTCGGATCATAAGCTTGATCAGATCTGATATTGACCTGAAAATTTGTCTATCTGACCTGGATTTTTCAGGTCAGGTCAGGTTGGGTCACAGGTTGACCTGACCTGATTTGGAGTTACTGATTTTTATCAAAAAAAGTGACCAATCAGAAAGATATCTGATTGATCAAGGTTTGATCTGTATAATATTAATCTTATATTTTCTTTCCATATTATCTTCTTTACTTTTCTTTTTTTTACAATTCTTTGCAGTTAGTTTTATATTCTTATTATTCATCCTTACTAAAGTAAAAATAAAAATATTTATCCTAAAATTTATATAAATTTACTTTGAATTTAACTTTTTCAAAAAATAAAAAAAAACTAATGTATTTCATATTAATTTATTTATTACTTTAAATCTATAACAATCATTAAAATATATGTTCATACTAAAAGTTTAAAATAAAATATATAAATTTCTTATCAATATTCATTGAATATTACATAATCTTAAAAAAGATATCAATTATATTGATAAATATGAATATCATCAGCTATTTAATTTAATAAAACTAATACTATTTAAAGATTATAATGGTAAAAATGGGTTATGTCGATAAGTTGCGTGGTGCTGCTATTCGCAATTTCTAGTTAGTATTGTATAATAGTAACATTAAAAAAAAAATCTCCAACGAAATGTCACGTGATGAACACACCATGTAAAGCAGAATTTTTTGATTAATTTTGTTTTTAACTTTTAGTTTCCGATTAATCGTTTTAAAAATCGACTTTTCCTATTCGCTTTTCGATTTTGATTTTTGTAACGATCCCAATCCCTAGCTGGGGTGATTTCATTTGTAGCGACATAATTTCAACCATTATAAAATGACTAATTAAAAATCGAACAACCCTTTTTCCCTTATAAAATTCAAAATATTTCAAACTTTGAATAAATATTATTCAAATCTAAAATTTTTGCAAAAAAAAAAACACTTCGTTCATCCGAAAAAAATAATTAGTTAATAAAAGAAAGTTAACCTGAAATAGTATTTAAAACACTTTCCTCACCAATTTACTTACGTCCACCCGTCCACCATAGGCAGATTTGTTTATTGGTAGATGGTTTTTCTTAAATTGGCATATGACGTAATTTGATGGCGTTGTTTTCAATACCTTTTGTTTTTCCTTTTGTAGATATATATCGGCTCGATATCCATTGAATTCGGATTACAGTAATAGGAGATATCCGGAACACTTTTACTATCTGTCCTTACTAATTTTGGCGAGTCTAACAATCATACTTTTTTTCAATGATCGTGAATGGTCTTATGAAGTTCAAATTTATTTTAATTTTAAGATATAAATACGATGAAACAATTTTTCATTCTGCATCATAAAACAAAACTACATAAAATGCCTCCAAATATTATTGCACCTCCAAGAAATATTAATCGAGGAAATAGAAGTTGTCCAAAAAAACCTTCAGGCATCCTTGAAAGAAGAAGGAACCAACGAAAACGGCGAGTTGTTGCAAGTAGGATTCATCAAAGAGCTCAACTCATCAATAATGAAGACACATTGAATAGAATCACAAACAAATGACCAATAATCTCAATAATTTTATAAACTAATGAACTGTGGTAAAAGCATTATTCAATAACACTTCATTCGTTTAAACCTTCTTTTGAAAAATTGTACATTTTTTTTTGACGGATAATCTCATTTCATTCATCGTGAGATTTATTTTAAATTTAAGCTTATTCTTAGGGGGTAATTCTTAATATGGGTAAAAGATTTATATAGTGTTTATTAAATATGGTTATCAAAGGAAATAGAATTTTGAATGTAAATGTATTTTATAATATAAAAAAAATTTAAGAGATTTTTTGAGATTTTTTGATGTAATTCTATTTTAATCAATGCAGTAAATATCTTGTGATGTGGTTTCTCAATTGTTATTGTAATATTAACCCTTTCAAAAGGTATTGATCGAAAAAATGGTTATTGGTAAAAAAGATTATCGGGATAATTTATTTTATTTTTTTTAGGATGTTTTGATCAAAAGACAAAAAATATAAAGTTCAAAAATCATTCATATTTATTCATATTAAGTTTATTATCAAATAAATATTTTTTTTGCTTAGTTATAAATAATACAATTATTGGATATTAGCTAATTAGCCAACGAGATTATTTAATTTAAACAAAAAATTTTCATTAAACAACGTTTAAGGAAATTTTTCTTTGATGATCCAATTTAATTCATCCTACAATGGGGCATATTTGATTGTTCATCTCGTAAATGATTTCCAAAAAAAAAGTTCTTTTATCGTATATGATAGTGTTGTACGACCAAAATTTTAAACAAAGAACATAAATTTAAATCACATGACACGAATTCTTTCGCATGTACAGTATTTGTTTTGCAATAAAAAAATATCTGCTTTAAAAAACTCATCTGTTTATTAAATAATGACTTTATAAATTAATTGAGGGTTTTATTAAATATAATACTTGTTGCACCTTGAAATATTTTATTAATTATTTAAACAAAAGATTAAAACACAGTGAACTCTCATAAAGGAAAAAAAGGGAATATAATACGAAAAATACAAATTATTTTTTTATTTATAATGCTCCGAAAGGGTCGGATCGAGTCGGGTTTCAGATAAACCCGAACTTATAAAATATTCGGGTCAGTATTTACACAACTCTCAAAACTCGACTCGACCCGATTTTAGTTTAACTCGAGTTTTATTTAATCGAATTTCGGTGAATACACTACCGGGTCTTATTTATTATATAATATTAAAATTATATACTGTGTAATTTTGTTTATTGCGTTCTTTAATTCTAAGATACATACATAGAAAAATAATTCTAATTCCCCACATGCATGCACCACTAGAAAAAACTCGTCCTACCGGAGTATTCATGTAGTCTTAATAAATAAAATATTAGTTTACCGTATGTATAATAATTATTAAATTTGATAAAGTGTACATGTAATTGCATACAATATTGCGAACCCAAGTTTTTATTTTTAAAGTTTTTTTTTTAAAAAAACCAGTAAATAATATTATAAATATTTAACTTTAACTATTAAGAAATACTTACGCACATCTAAGGTTTTGCATCTAAGGACCATCATAGGCTCATTTGTAAAAAGTTCACTACGCAATGCTTTTGTTTTCGAGTTCGAGTACAGTAGCTTTTATTTCCGGAGTTACGGTCAATAACTTTCATTCATTTTTATAATAAAAGTAGCGTGAAATTTACAAAATTTAAATCTCATTTAGAACAAATTAGATCACCCCGTTCGAGCCTCTGGCCTGATGGGTTGAGGGTCAATAACCTGGGGAATAGCAAAAGTAGGTTCTTAATTCGGGTCTCGGCGAATAAATAACCCGGATTCGATCGGTGCTAAACTAGATTAGTCAAAATTTATATTAAATACGAGACTTTATCTGAAACATCATTATTATTCTGATTCTTGCACACAAGGTAAATATTATAAATGGGGAAAAAAATTTTTTTTAGTTGTTTATTAACCTAACATCGTATTATTAGTATCATTTGTAAATTTATAATAAACGAATTTTCCAAAAATTATACTGCGGCATCCCTTTAAAAATATCAATTGGCTGTTGGACTTGAAGGCATAACTGTTAAAAGCAATGCTATAAAGAGCCGAAATGCCATATCGTCCAGAGCTGGCGGGAACTGCTAGCAAGAAATTAAATTTGGCGCAGTCAATATATCTGCATTCTGTGACATTTTATGTCGAGCAAGTGACATATATGACGCGATGTGATCGGCAAGCCTTGTCACATAAATAATTGGCATGGAGTTTTCTGCGAATATTATAAACCAAAAATGGAATATAATCGTTCTTTTTTGATTGTTAAATGATGATAAATATATTCTTAAATCAAAAACCAGATTAAATTGCATCATAACATTACATTATCTGTTTTACCAAATCAGCATGATCTATCAAAAAAAAAAATTCCAATCTAATATGTAAAGCAATATATAAATTTATCATGTAAAATCGAATTGAACCTATGATACAATGATAACGTTCTGCTCATAAATTGGTTCTATTTGCTACACAGTGCATCGAGATCATTCAAATTGAAAAAAAAAATTTTGATTATTTATTGTTCGTTTTATTTTTATTCTAATAAATCATTATAAGATACGATCTCAGGGGACTTGATCTACTTTTTTGTTTAATGTATAAACTGATTTAATCCATTTAACGCGATATTATTGGTGTTTAGTTAGAAATTAAATCTTTCATATGATTCCTAATCAGATACTTTGTTTGATCTTTACGGAGTACACCGTTGCTTTGTCAAAATGAACAAATATAGAATGATTGTTATCTTTAGTATTGTGTTAACAACAATCACAATTTCTGTATAATACAATGGCTTTTTTTATGAATGGCATCAATGAAGTTGATTCTATTGTTCATCAGAAATCATAAAAGACCTAACGAAGAAAGAATTAAAGAAATATGAAAAACCTTAAAAAAAAATTTTTTTTCTGTATTGTTGTAAAGTAAATTTAAAACAAAGAAAGGAAGGAAATCGTAAATAAAAGCTGATTTGATTTTCTTTGATTTATCAAAACACAGAGATGTTTATTTGTGTACTGCTGTTGTGAAACAGTCCTGTTTCTGGTGACACCGAGTGAGCATAATTGATTTTCTTGTAAATAAATGTATTAAAACACATTGAATTTATTAATTTTGACATTTTGGAATTTTTTATCCTGGGAATAATTGCTCATACTTTATTTCTATTGGTTATATTTTGATAAGGATGAGAATATCTTCGAAAAAGGGACGAAATTTCTAACTCCTCCCCCGACACCATAAACATTGTGAATTTTTATGATGCTTCATATCGTATATATTAAAAAGTACAAAATTTAGAATTGAAAGAAGCGTGCCCTTACGTTATGAATTCTACTGTAAGTTTATTCCTTTTCACTTTTTATTGGTCATTGTAAACAATCCAAGCGTTAGCATGTAAATTTTTGGTTCATATGGCCTTTAGGAAGAATATATGTAATGATTTTTAAGGCAAATTCTCGTGCACGAAAATGATCAATAACTGAAAGCCTTATACTCTCGCATAACCCATCTAGGAATAGACCTCATACACCACATAACTGTAATCTGTGAGTAACACAGTACTATAAAATTTGGATATTGACATGGGATTAAAAATAAATCCAATAATAAATAAAAACGTGTCAAAACCATAATTCTTCGGCAGTTGCCATCATTTCGACCAATAAAATTCATTTTTATGGAGGTATGTATGCATATAAGGCATATAAGGCATGTCTGGATGCCTTGCTTTAACTACCGAATTTCATTATAATAAACTAGAAGCTTTTGTTATATTAAAATAAAAAAATTCCCGTTATTAAACAAAAATAAGTTTATTTTCAATATCAAAATGACTCTATTCATTGGCAACTTTAAACAACAACCACAAAGCAATAATAAAAGAAAAATGGTTCAGCGCAGAAGGCAAAGGATTACAAGAAAGCTTTTTCAAAGAAGACATTTTATCATTCCCGCCGCACAACCTCCCAGAATTATGCAATACCAACGTACACGACATCCAAGATTCTTTCGTCGAAGACAATACCATCGTGCAACTTATCAAAGAAGGAAAAGAATTCGATTCAACTCGAACAATGATACTTTGAATAGAATCAGAAATCTTCCTACACTAATGACCAATAATCTCAATAATTTCAGCAGTTTCGGTAATTTTTTAGAAGGATTTTTCAATGGCACTACATTCGTTTAAACCTTCGTTTGAAAAAAATATTCATTGTCTCGTCTCGTTGCCAATTTCGACTGGCAATATCGTTTATATATATAAACTTTATCCTTTTTTAAATTTTATTTACCCATTATTATTTTATACATAATACATATTCATTAAATTTGTTTATTTTTTTTTAATAGTTCATTTAAAGAAATAGATGATATAACAAATCCATATGTATATTAGTTTACTTCATGTATAATTTAAAATATCGTTAAAGGAATTAAAATTTTTTTGAAAATACATAAGCAAGCTGTCAAATGTATAAATGAAATTATAATCGTTTTTGAATAAATAATTGATTTATTTTTCAATATTATAAACGAATATTACTGAGCGTGCATGCATTCCTCAAATTCCATTTATTGCATTGGCAAATCATTTATTTTTTATGTTGAAATATGAATGTCAAAAATAAATTTTATGTATTATTTTTAACCCAAGAGATTTAATAACGAGAATTTTTTATATACAGACTTGATATGATTAACAGTTAATATTCTACAACAGAGTCCTAAATAGTGCTCCGAGCCGGTCGAATCGACCCGGGTCATTCGACCCGACTCGAGAAAAAATTCGAGTCGGACTATCATTTTATGTCACGAGTCCTAATTTCTTAAAACCCGCCGGGTTAGGGTCTCGATTTTGCTTGACCCAGGTGACCCGAATGATCAGGTGATGTGATTTAAATGATATAATGATACGCAATGCAACAATTTGTTTTACGTTATGCGGCTTAATCTATAACGTACGAATTAAATAATGAGTGAAATTATTGACCTTACTAATTCCGATAATACAACTTCTCTTGG